CAGAACAGCTGTATAGCAGCAACCAAAAGCAGTGACAAACCTGAAGTCACCCACATCATTTTCAGCCTGTCATAAAATGAGATCTGAGATGATATGTGTGCTGTGATAATGTGTTTGACTTTCTAAAGTGCTGTCTTATGTTAATTATTAAGGGTTTTTTTCCATTGGTGGAAAAAAAGACATTGATATGACAAAACCAGTAGTTCTGACAGTAGGAATCATCTTAAAACTATCCAACTTAGCCATAGACGGGTTCCCCATCCTACTAAGGCACAATATGTTTGGTTTGGTTTTGTCTGAATGTATGGGTTATTCAATAAATAATTATTCATTAAGATGCCAATTCGTAAAAACATGTAAATGAAATTGGATCCAGAATTCCCCTTTTGTGAACGGAAAGCTCTTTTCCACTTTCAAAAATGTCCCCTGGAAGAATGGATCAGGACAGTGTTTGCCAATGTTTCCTCTTCATGATCTTCCCTATCACAACTCACATTGTTGGCTAATAATCATAGATAGATAGATAGATAGATAGATAGATAGATAGATAGATAGATAGATAGATAGATAGATAGATATGATGTGATGTGATGTCCCACTGCCTGGAGGCCATGCGGGTCTGGATGGGGAGAAATAGGCTCAAGCTCAAGCCTTCCAAGACTGAGTGGCTGTGGCTTCCAGCATCCCGGTATAGTCAGCTGGTGCCATCGCTGACCATTGGGGGTGAATCTCTGCCCCCCACAGGTGAACTGTATTCTTATTTGCTTAACCCTTACTTAAACTATAAGCACCCCTTCTTTAAGAGGAACATTGTTCATTTCACTGTACAATGGACAAACATGTTCACCACATCATTCTGAAAATGAGTCATTTGCAACATTTAATAGGATCAAACTCTTCATTTGACCTATTGTCAATTATGATGCCTTTGCATTTTATTGGCTACAACTTTTCTGAAATAGATGTTAGTTCCTAATTCCCTTAAGGATGATGAAAGTAAGGGTCTCTACCCATCTCTACTGCCAATTCAAAGACAATCCTAATCCCTCTAGCCCTCTGAGAGCTTGGAATATTTGGCAGGCAAAGTGTTACAAAGAAATATTCTTATTGGAAACTCTTTTATGGTCTTTGGCAAATAAAGGCCCATATCAGAAGTAAGATAATCTCCTCTGCCCTGAAAGCAAGGAACATTGTCCGTACAATGTATAATGAAACTTTGGGAAGCTCCTCATATGCTTTATCAGGCCAATTCCCAGATGGATTTTTCTTCACTTTTCATTTTGCGGTTATCTCTGCTGTGAGACATTTTGCATATTCCCACCACGGCTCCTCTCCTCCCTTGTTCCGCTTTTGCTATCTCCCGTCTTCTACATGTTTCATTTTGTCTCACTGCTTGTGAACAAAGTGAAATTACTGTGGACAGATTGATGGGCGAGAGAGCATGCAAAACTTTGCAAACTTCACAATATTTTTTTCTTAAAAGTTTTCCTGGTCTGCTAAAGCACAAGGGGGACCCACTTTCACACAGTCTAGCAGCTGTGGTGGAAATAAAAATCTTCAAGCTTTCAACAATGACTGGAGTGAAAGAAATATACCCATTTGGAAATATTTCTCTGACTGACAAAGGACAAAAGATCTCGCAGAAATAAGGGCTGACCAGATTGCAGATTTTTAACATTTTGATCTCACCTTTATTATATTTATAAATATCTCAAGGTGGCAAAAATACCTAATGCTTTTTCCTCCTCCTATTTTCTCCACAATCACCCTTTGAGATGATTTGGGCTGGGAGTTGTTAGTATTTCCTTGATTAATAATCCTTGCATGAAATGAACAGTGCATGCTTACTCCAAAGATAGTCCTACATCAGAGGTGGGTTTCAGCAGGTTCTGACCAGTTCTGGAGAACCGGTAGCAGAAATTTTGAGTAGTCTGAAGAACCGGTAGTAAACATTCTGACTGGCCCTGCCCCCATCTATTCTCTGCCTCCCAAGTCCCAGTTGATCAGGAAGAAATGGGGATTTTGCAGTAACCTTCCCCTGGAGTGGGGTGGGAATGGAGATTTTACAGTATCCTTCCCCTGCCATGCCCACCAAGCCACGTCCACCAAGCCATGCCACGCCCACCAAGCCACACCCACAGAACCGGTAGTAAAAAATTTTGAAACCCACCACTGTCCCACATTTTTAAGATAAGTTTGCTCCCTGTTAAATGAGTTCTGGCTGCATCTGAAGTTGGCTAGTTAAAAGTTGCCTTGACATCAAATACAGCTTTTATTCATTCCCTTCCCCACATCGCAAGAGTTGTAGCCTAGATTTTTTTTTTCTGATTTAAATTTGTGCCCAAGGTCACCCAGTTAGATTTCGCACCTAAGGCAGGACTAGAAGTCAGAGTTTCCTGGTTTCTCACCTGGTGTCTTAACCACTAGCCCAAACTGATTATAGTAATAAGATACCACAAGGCTGTCATACTTACATAAAAGTTAGTATCTTAGTGGCTGGGCTTAAACCAGCCTAGTAGAAGAGCGCTAACTGATTAAAGGAAAGATATTATTGTCAGTTGCTCTATCCAGCAAACTTAGTTTGCAGTTGCTTGGACAGAGCAATACATCCAGTTCCTGGATTCTTTTATGACTGGTGGAATGATTTACAGTCCTGGATATATATTTTTTTGATTTGTGGAGAATAAAACAATGCTTAGAGAATATTTTATTCTTGGACTTTTCATTGAGATAGTAATATGATGACTTTCCTCATGCACTGAGCTGATATGTAAACAGGACAAAGAACAGAAGTTAGGCTGACAGAAAGCCCCTGATTAAAGAGGGTTGCAGTCAGAACAGGAAGACAAATCTATGTTCTCTGCATCTTTACTACAACACCAGGACTATCTTTCTTCCTCCCAGCTGGGGAAGGATAATTGAAATGGAAAAATAGGAAGAGGAAAATGGCTAAGCAAGTTCGTCCTTTATGTTTCTACTGAAAAAATGTGTTATCTCAAAATTATCTTTTGTGGGAAAAGAAGCAGCAAGGTATTTGAAGTTGGAGAGAGATGAGTGAACGCCACGCATTGGAATTATAGTAGCTGGGCATTCAGAGTATGAATGTAACTTTGATGTTACTAAAGTTAAACAAAAAATAATGGAGCTGGAAGGAACTTAATGGCTCCTCTCTAACACGAAGGTAATCAATCATCCAGAGTCATCCAACTTTTGACTTTTAATAGGTCTAACCAAATTTAATTACTTTGCCAAGTCTCAGTTATTCCATTTCATTTTTTTTCAGTTACTATGACTAAACATTTCTTTTGCAAATATTTCTTTTCTGAACGGGTAGGAGTGGAACTTGCATTTAAAGTTCTAGCCATATAAGATCTATGGGGTCTTGCTCTCTGAGCTTGGTTGTTTTCTTGCATAGAGACTCCCTACTAGCACTGATGTTACCTGGTTTCACTGATGATGTTACCTGGTTTGGTAATGAAACATCTGCAAGAAAACCATCAAATTCAGAAAGCACCAAGGACTCCACAGTTCAACCCTGAGCTACAAGTATCCTCTTCTATTGGTACCATATATGACTCTTTTGCTGCAACTAGTATTGGATTTTCCACATTGTAACATCTCAAATGAGAGGTAGAGTTTGTTCAACAAAATACACATTCAAATCCCAGACCACAATGGGATCTATCCAACCCTTCTCACACTTCAGTTATACGTTTTTGGAGTGATGGGGGCAGTGGCAGCCTGAGTATTTTCACACACACACAAAAATAGTGTGTGTTCATTTGTAAGCCAGCTGATAGACTTCAGCATCTTCTCTGTAGACTAGACATTGGTGGTGGATAAATGTATATGGAAAGTTGATTTCAACCCATTTAGATATTAGAGAGTATGCTGAAAAGTATGTCTTGCCACATAGCTCTTATTTTGCACCACACATTGTTGATACCAGAGTGATAGCAGCCAAAGCCTTTAGTAATGCATCCATTAGTTTGTTATTTCTCAGAGGAAAAAGTGAAGATTTCCAGTTCTGGGACAAATAAAAGAGTAGAGAACTTTGGGATATCTCAAGTACCCAGTGATGACAATCCACTTCATCAAAGTAACAGGGGGGGAGAAAGGGGGGGGGAGGCAGAACAAATCAGAAAGTAACATCATATCCAATATCATATTTCAAGTCCTTTTTCCTAAGAAGTTATTTTACAATTAATTTTAGGCAAATGGGAAGCATTTTTAGATGATTAAACTTTTTATAAATGATTCTATTAGTGTAATTTAGTCTTTAGCCCTTCTCAATATAAGCCATTCCTAACATAAATAGTGCATTTGGTTAGTGCCTCTCTGCATTAAGCTCCCAACTCCCCAGTCAATGATAGCCTGCACAACTCATTCACAAAATTCCTCTGCTTCCTTCATTTCTGAACTAGCATATAGAAATCAGCCAATTTATGGAGTAAAGTCAAAATGACAGTGTTGAGCTCCTTCAGTGAAAAAGATTACAGAGGCATTTCCATCCTACTTCCATCCTAAAAGCAATTTCCCATTTGCTCACAGTAATTGATATAAACATTATCTTTCATGTGCTCTCACTGAGATTAACAGAAAATTATTTGATGTGGTTTAGTATGAAAAAATACCTGACATTTCTATGCCAACTATTCCTATTCCTCCAGATTTACAGCTTCTTAATAAAAGCATTCAAGTTCTCTATGTCATCATAGGACAATTACGGGCAGAGATATTTGGTAATTTATCCAAGGTCACACAAATAGTATCTAAGATTTCAAATCACTTTTTAGATTTTACCTGTCTATTGAACTCATCTGTTTTCATTTGAATAATGTTTCATTTTCTTAATCAGCACATTTACTAAGGCTTTGTTGAATGCCACATTACCGATTAGCTCTATGGATAATAGTTCAGTTATAGATACATTTTAAAGAAAGTACAATGAGGCAAATTACTGCAGAGGCAGGTATATAAAAAGGAGAACAAAACCATACCTTCTTTTGGAGGATTTTCATCCCATGCGAGCCACATCTGCACAATAAAATAAGGAGTCCAGCACATGATGAAGGCTAAGACAATAATAAAGGTCATTTTGACTGTCCGTATCTTGGCTTTGGAAATGAGCTTGATACTGCTCACCCTGGAGAGTGTGCCTCCATGAGAATTACTAGAGGTTAGACTCACACTTGTTTCATGGACGGTTTTCAGCTTCACATTTTGCCAAATTTTGAAGCTGATCAAGCCATAGCAGATACATAGCACAATCACTGGGATGATGTAGACAGTCAAGGTCATCCAGGTGACGTAGGCTTTAGGACCCCAAGGCTGAATGAATGTCGCCCAGCAATCCATCCCCCCGTGGGCCACGTTCTTCATAGAAAATATCTGGAGCTGCGGGACGCTGAAGAGGAGGCACACCACCCATGTGAGGAGCACAGACAACCGGTCAGACCTCCGATGTAAGGACCTCAAGGGCTGGCAGATGGCCAAACACCGATCCAGCGACATCAGCAACAGCATGTAGGTGGAAGCAAACATCCCCACCACTTGCAGGTATTTGATCAACCTGCAGAGATAATCTGGCCCTTTGAACCTGAAGGTGATGTCCCAGATGAGCTGAGGCAAGACCTGGAAGAGGGCCACCACTAGGTCAGCAATGCTCAGATGCTTCATGAAGAAGTACATGCGGGAATGTTTGTGGCGGGTTGTGTAGATCGCCAGCAGCACGCATAAGTTTCCCGTCAGGGCGAGGAAAAAGATGAGGCACAGCACTGCCACCTCCACCTTGGCAATGTCCTCGTTCCGTTTTATGACTGAAGTTTGGTTGGCTTGTGAAGTCTGGTTTTCGAAGGTAGCATTGCCCAAAGAACAATTTGAACAATACCAAGAATCCATGGTAGATGCTTCCCACCCAGAGTCTTTTGCAAGGCTGAACTGAGAAGAGAGAAGATGCCTTCTCTATAATGCAGTGTGTCTTTTAGAGCCTCCCCTTTTTTGGGACCAGGCCTTTCAGTGCTTATTTCCTTTTCCTGAAGGCCCCTTTACTCCCATTTGGCCCTTTGCCTCTTTATTTATTTATTTTTTTCAAAGTCCCGTTTATTTCCCTTTCACTTTGGATCCTTCACCTGGATCTGTACATGCAGTTGATGTATAGTTATGAGTTCTTTTCCACCCGCAGGATAAATCCTGCTCTCTTTCCAAATTACTTCATTTATTCCTCCTATAGCAAAAAAAAAAAAAAAAAAGTGGGGAGAAAAAAATAAATAAGGAATTATACCAACATGGAGAGCCACATAGTCACATTTTGAATCTCTGACAACCTCAGCTTTCTACTCTCTCACAAGGCATTCATTCAAATTCAGGAGTGTAATTTCAATGGCTTGTTCCCGTTTACTTCAAAACAACAGTCAAGACTTGCTTATTAGTTCTCCAAGTCTTTTTTCTTTCTTTCAACTGCAGTATTTATCCCAGTTCCTCCTTGTATACGGATGGCTTTCTGCATCAGTCTAAATATAGATGTAGAAAGCCAGACTACAATTAAATGAAAACTCGAGGGATGACACAATTAACAAACACACAAGCATGCTTTGCTTAAAAGTGCCTTTCAGAGTTACAAAGAAATTCTTCTTACCTTTAGCTCACTTTTTTTCTTTTCTTTTAGCAACTCCTGAACCAGAGAGTTCTCTCTCTCCCCTTTTCCTCCACCTCTCTAGAAAGAAATATTAGAAGCTAGTCCTATCCAGCTGGGAAGGTCCAAGAACGAACGTCAGGTGCGTTCCTTTTGCCCTTGTGACACATTTAGCAGCTCTACAAGTTTGTTCTCAAATGAATGCAGGAGGACAGAGAGGAGGAGCGGGAGAAGAAGGAGGAGGAGCAGCAGAGCTTGCTGTCAGCTCTTCACGGTCATTCATGGATAAAATATACTGATTCTGTATTGTTGTAATGCAGGATTTCTTTTGGCCCTTAGGTGTCGCCCTAGGCCATTTCTTCAGTCCCATTCTCAGGAAACTATTAAAGATCAGAAGTGGGCTGAGATCTCACTCAGCAGAGACTGATTCTCCTGTCGCTTGGTTGTGCATGGTTATGCATAGATGTGCCTGAAGATGTGCAATATATATAGATATATATAGAGAGAGAGACCAGGAACCAAAGGACAGTAACAGTGTTCTTTTCTTCCTTCTGCTTCTCACTCTTCTTCCCTTTCTGGGATTTCATTTCTTGTTATTGTATAATTTAGGAAGCATCACGTGACGTCCCTTCCCACCATACATTTTCAATGTGACAAGAGGCTTTTAAGCCTGAGGGGAATGTTAAAGATATCAATGCAGCAAGGTGAGAATTTTAACAGGCAGAGCGAGGTATCTGGTTTGAATGTCAGCCAAAGGTTTCTTTTTTAAAATTGTATGGCTATTGGGTTTGCATTCTCATGTTTTTTATATTTTGACGATTTGTTACCCTACTAAAGCAGGGTGACTCTTATGCACCTGAACTAGAAAATGGGTTTTGGGTGTTATTTGCTAATCTGGTAGCAAACTATTTTGGAGTTGAAGAATAGATTTCCTATTGTAGGAAGTTAGCACCCTAGAAGAATGAAATATTCTAGGAAATATTAAAAAGGCCAAAATATTATATTTCCCTGAATGAGAAATGGAGAAACATGTTTTTTAGGCAGAAAGCAGACTCACTCTTAATAACCCCCACCCTCCTCAATAGCAGATGTCAGCACTTAAGACATAAAAAGATAGCTCGGCCTATTCATAAGCAAATGCCCTTACCCATGATCCAACAAAGATAGGATTAGACCTCTACCCAACTAGCAACAGAACTCACCACATGGCACCTGGGAAGATTACATCACCCAGCAAGATTCAACCAAGCTTGGGACTCAAAAGGCAACCTACAAAGTTACCCCTGCATGGTCCCATGGAAGTCTGACAACCAATCAGAATACAAGCTCAAATTCAAAGCCCAACAGAGGATATAAATCTCTCTCTCACACACTCACTCACTCACTCACTGGTGTTTTTTTGCCATGGACCTCAAACCACGTGTCCTGTCCACCATTAAAAATCATCTTTCCAGTCAGCCACCATGTTTCCAGTGTCTTTCTCCCCACTTGGAACTGAACCCAGTGGGACATTTCTTCCAACTCTATCAAGGTGGGCGAGGGAATGGTTAAACTGTCTTCTGTTTTGTTTTTAACCACATTCATTTCAGGCAAGCCTCTTATATAAATCTAAGTTTTATTGTTTGATTGACTAATTTGTTTTCATTGCGCCTTCCTCTGGAATTCAGTGATGTAGGGCAAGTTATAAACATTTTAAATCACTAAATAAGGAAGCAGCTGTGCTGAATGAAGATCGGAGGTAAATGTCTCAACTGAGTCATTGTAGATCTATTTTCTCAGAGAAACAAAGGCTCACACCTCATTTTCAAATTTTTTTTTTAACTGACCTGAAAATAATTTTTTTCAGATACTTTGTGTATTTGCTATGCTGGCTGTATGAAGTATGTGGAAAGGATTTCCCTTGGTGAATGGTACATTTTTAGACTGGCATTTGAAAGAAGTCCTAAACTTGTGTTACCGATCATCAATCCCATATTTCAATAAATCTGGATGGCAATGTATACAACAAAGAGTTTTGCAGCAGCACCAATATAGCAATTTACTCATTTTATATACATACTTATATTTGTTAGAATTTCTATTTTACTTGTCCACAAGGCAGCTTACACGAGATCCCTCCAGTGCACCAGTTCCAGCCGTTCTTAAAGCAGAAGGCTCTTTAAATAGTCATTCATGCTGTAGGTACATCACAAATGGACTACTGCACCGTAATGGGGCTGCCCTTGAAGGTACAGCTGGTCCAGAATGCAGTAGCACAGTGGTTCTCAAACTTTTCTTCAGGATGGACCCCCTTTAAATACCTTTTGTCACCAAGGACTATGGCCATGGACCCCCAAGACAAACTGTATTTTTCGAACTATAAGACGCACTCCCCACCCCCAAAGTGGGAGGAAATGTCTGTGCATCTTATAGAGCGAATATTGCAGCGGGGGGAGAAGAGTTGGTGTGGTGCTGATCAGCTGTTCTAGGTGGCGATCAGTGGTGAATGGGTTGCAACGAATGGGCCACAGTGGCTGTGGTAAATGGGCAGCAGCCGACGGGCCATAGTGAAGGGGCGGAGGTCAACAGATGGGCGAACGGGTGGCAGCGAATGGGCAGCGGCGATCCCCACCACCTAGAACAGCTGATCGGCAGTATTCCAGGAGGCGAATCCAATCGCCAATCAGCTGCTCAGCAGTGAAGGCTCCAGCATTTCCCAGCGGCGGCAGCAGCTCAACTCAGTTGACCGGTAGTGGGCGCAACGGAGTGGAGCTCTGACAAGCCACGTGCTGGGGCTGCAATAACGTGCTGAAGCTGATCAAGCTGTTTTCTATTTGCTGCAAGGATGCTAGCCAGATGGATGTTGAGAGGCAGAAGCAGATTTTTTTTTTCTTGTTTTCCTCTCTAAAGCTAATGTGCGTTTTATAGTCCAGAGCGTCTTATAGTCTGAAAAATACGGTAATTTGAGATTTAAATCATAACACTTCTGCAGGCCTTTGCAGGACCTCTGTAATGACATTGTGCCCCCCCAGGGGTCCATAGCCCACAAGTTGAAAGCCATTGCAGTAGCACATGCATGTCACCACTGTTTCATGAGTTCCACTGGTTGCTTCTAAATATAATTCAAGATTATTGGTCAATATTTATTTGTTTCTGGTAGTTTCTACCTGCCCTGTAAGTTCAGACAGAGTAGGTGTGCTCCAGGCCCCTTCAATTAAACAATGTTACTTATTAGGACCAAGGAAATAGGTATTTCTCTGTGTCCCACCCTAAAATTGTTCTCAAGCCTGGGATTAGGATGGCTGCTAAATCCCATAGGTTTTACTTTTTTGGAGTATCGGTACTTTTTTGTATGTGTGGTTCCATGGGCATACATTTTTTTTCTCATTCTCTTGCAATGTACCTTTAAAATGTAACCTACCCAGAATTATTTGGGAGTTAAGCAGCCTTTAAATCCACATAAATAAATATTTATTTTATTCCCACAACACTGTGTATCAGAGAGGGCTAAGAGAGAGTGCCTGGCTCAGAATCTTTCAGGGAATTTCTGTGGCTGAGGATGGACTTGAAGCTGGACCTAGTCCAAAGCTTTTAACCACCATATGGATTTTTTGCTTTGTAAAATGGCCTAAAATTGTTTGCTAGGGAACAATATTTATTAGCACTTATTATGTAATTGTATTACTGAATTTAATCTTTTCCTAGTAAAAAGCCTCATAAACACAACACACACATATACCCCAGGGGTGGGTTCTAAAAATTTTTACTACCGGTTCTGTGGGTGTTGCTTATTTTGTGGGCGTGGCTTGGTGGGGGGTAATTTGACTGGGTGGGCGTAGCCAACTTTTTTTTTTTTTTTACTTTTAAAAGCATTTTTTCTACAATCTTAAGAGGTTGCAGAAAAAAAATGCTTTTAAAAGCCTCTGATGATCAGGCAACTCAGCTGGGATCGCCAGAGGCTTTTAAAGGCATTTTTTTTCCCTACAACCTCTTTGGCCGAAGAGGCTGCAGAAAAAATGCTTTCAGAAGCCTCTGACGATCCCAGCTGAGCCACGCGATCATCAGAGGCTTTTTTTATTATTATTTTTAAAAGCATTTTTTTCGGCCCAAGAGGATGTAGGAAAAAATGCTTTTAAAAATAAAGAAAAAAAAGCCTCTGATGAGGGTGGGGTAAGCGAGTGGCTACTGGGCTGGGGACCGGTTTGGGGGCGTGGCCAGCCAATGTTATTACCAGTTCTCCGATCTACTATAAATTTTTACTACCGGTTCTGGTGAACCGGTGGGAACCGGGAGCAACCCACCACTGATATACCCCTGACATCTGCTTCTCTACTTTCTGTGTAATGTATTGATTTCCATCCTTTTTCAATTCGCTGAATATTATTACTTTTCACTGCAACAAATTTCAACTTACTTCATGACTTATTATTGGTGAGAGACATAAAAACTCACTAACTGCAATACACTGAAAAGCTAATCAGCTGTAATGTCAAATATCTTAGAGCTTTTAACTTTAAGCCTTGAGGCATTTAAAAAACAGTGCTGGGATCGAATCTGTGCCTGATGGGTCTTGGGTACATATGGAGCGCTCTATGTTTTTCTGAGTCATAACTATTAATTTAAAAGTTTACCATTGTGTCCAATTTACTTCAATCCTCACCATCGCTTTAATATGCCAAATGTACCAAATACAGGCATCTGGTGCATTACACTAAATGATTCCAAATTGCTTTATTTCTTTCTCTCTCCCCCCCCCCGCCCCCAATTGTTTAATACTTTCCCCAGGACCAAAGTTTTGATTAGTTTGCATTTCCTGCCTTTTTCTACATTTTTTTCTTGCTGAGGTAATTTTATGGTCCAGCATTCCAAGAGTTTTTTTAAAAAAATAGGAAAGATACTGGATCTCTTTGAAATGAATAGATTAGATCAATGTTTCTCAAATTTGGCAACTTTAAAGTATGTGGACTTCAACTCACACACAGATGGGTGGGCACAGAGATGCAAGCACACAGAGACACATACTTCTTATTGGACAATTCTTAGACTTTTCAGTGACATCAAATTGCCATTATTTGCTAAGAACTGAAAAACCACAATACAAGAAATTAATCAAAAGTCCAGAAAATGCTCTAGAGAATAATTCAGTTTCTAACCAATTTTTAAAAGCCAGTAGGAAGGTGTTAAGTCTGCTCCAGAGTAATGGTGGCGGTGTTGCAAAGAAAGAACAAGTTTCTTGTTCTTGATTCCCTTCGCCTCCTGAAAATGTGGAACCATTAATACAAGGGTGTCAAACTCACAGCCTGGGGACTGGATGCGCTAGCCATACCCATCTCCTAATCATGCGCTAGCCATACCCATCCCCATTTTAGCAAAGGGGGGGGGAGTCATGCTATGTCACATGAGGACAATGTGATGCCACGAGTTTGACATCCCTGCATTAATAGCTTTTTCTAATAGATCGGGCCAGTGGT